CCTATGCAATCAATGAAATCGGACGAATGTACTTTGATTTCATCTTCATTGATTTTTACATCCTTGATTAGTTCCTTTGTGATTAAATTATCATTCACTTTAAGCTCCTCTACAACCGCTGATATTTCTTCAAATTGAATGATCGATCCATAATTTAAATCCACGGGCAGTGAGAAGTCGGTCTCATTGATTCCCTCAAGTGGATTGCACCCCCATTCTTGAAATCCTTCCCAGTACATGTAATCTCCCATAAGCATATCGCTTTCATCCAATTTGGCAAGCTCTTTGAAATACTTTGCAATTACCTTTTCATTCAATAGGGGAGGACCATCTCCCACGAGCTTGATGTCCTCATCCCAATTGTAAAGTACCAATTCTCCCGCAAGCATATACTCTTCATCATTTTTGTCAATGGCTTGTTTTTTCGACACCTCAAATATTTCCTAAACCTCAAAAGTTTCGGTGTGTGTAAACTAGTGTACGAAAACAAACAATTCTCACTACAATGCACCGCATAACAATTTTCACAACTTAGATATCCTCCAAGCGTATCTTGATCGTCCACACACAGATTTGTCATTGTAACAATTTTGTTACTTTACCAAAGTTAGAATCCTGCGAATATCTGGAAAGTAGTAGGAGATAAAACAAGCACAAGGTAGATTAACAAACCGAAGGTTAGCCAAAATATACAAAACTAAAACCAATTAAAAACAAATAAAAAGAAATTCTTAAGATTAAAATGAATTAAAGTGGTAATCGAAGTAAAAATATTCTCAGGCGGCGTAAAAAATTTGTACGCTAAAATACTACACCACAAGTGCACGAGTCGCGTTCAAGTAATAAAGTGAACATTTTAAGTTCGAATTTTCGATCCCTCGATGAATGTATACTTTCGATTACACAACTGTACTTAAGTTAATTCTAACAATAGAAATAAACACACACAATTAAAAATATGATTTTTAAATAAGGAAATTAACTAAAATCTACAAATTAAGAAAATATGAAAATCTTGGGAATTTTCGAAAGCAAACGTGGTTGCGATTCATGGTTTCATTTAACCGTGGCCTAATTAATTTCTCCACGAGCCAATTAAAAAGTTACTCATTTACGATGTTAGACCCGATTTTTTTCAATTTTAGTTAATTACATCTCTCGAGCGAAATTAATCGTAATTGAATGGTTTAACCTACTATATCTCTATGTGATTAAAACCAAACAATTGCATTAAATATTTTGTGAAAATAATTTATTGGGTCACCTAGGGCGAGAGGTTTATCTCCATCCTCTACACAAATTTAGGGTTTCTATTATTTGGTCTAAAAAGCACAATATTCTCTCGAATGATGTACAATTCACTAAACACAATCATTCATTGGCCACATAAATGAAAATGCATGGAATACAATAGAAGAGACATATGAAAATAAACAAATCAATATCAAAGGGCAAATATTAAAATGAATCAAGGCTAGATTAAACTACAACCATAAATCCCAACACAAATAACTTACCCATATTATATAAATGAATAAAAAGAGAATATTTTACACAATATGTTGTAACAGAAAATACAAAGTTATAGATACAACCCATTTTGAAACTTGACTTTGATTTTCCCAGATAGTTCTTCAAATCTTTAAATATTTTCTCCTTGTGCTCTATGATTTGCTCCCAAAAGTTCCAAGGAAAAGAAAAGAAAAAGAAGAGAAAAATGAAGAAGAAAGAAAAAGAAAAGAGAGAAAACTAAGAGAATAGAGTCTTGGGTTTTCTTTCCAAGATGAAGAATGATGAGAAAATGGTTGAATTTGCTTTTTAAAAGACCCAAAAATCGTGTTTTGTTAATTACAAAATGGTCCCCAATTAAAAAATTTAGGCAAACAGGTCTTGGTATGCAGCCGCGGCGTTGCGATGCCTTGAAGTGGCGTTGTAAAACCATAGTGGATAGAGTTGTGGCGTCGCGGTGCTGCTACAGTGGCGCTGCGGGGTTGCTACAGTGCCACCTACCATTTTTTATTTGCAACTCAGGTCCTACTCATATTTGCACAGTAGATCCCTCAATTTTGAACTTGCACAAATTTGGTCCTCCAATTTTGACTTTTATTTCAATTTTGCCCTCCAAAATTGCCAACTCCAAGTCCTTGAACTTTCAATCCTTTTGCATTTTGGTCCCCAACTTCACAAATTTGCACACTTTTAATCCTTCTCACTCCATTTTTCCTCATTTTGCTTTGTTCTCTTTCCTTTGTGATTTTACCTACAAAAGCAAATATTAAATGATTGTTAGTGGAATTCCATTCATTTAATCAATTAATAACATATTTAGATATTAAATAAGTGTATAAAAACATACTTATCAGCATTCCTTCATAAAACAACATTTCATAGAATTGTTCAAGTCATAAATATGAACTTAGAAAATGAACCATGTCACGTCATGCTATCATAGATATAGCCAATTATCATGTAAACTACTCTGTTTGGTTGGGATTAAAATAAAAATTTTCGTAGATTTTAATAAAAATTAATAAAATGTGTGGTTGAAAAGTTGTGGGACCTATGAAATATATGATTAAAATTAATTATTCACTTTAGCTTGGATTAAAATCTGAATTTTAGTAGGTACCAAACAAGGGCTTACTAGCAATTTATACATGTAATTTTTTTATTCAGTCAAAGTCAAACACTAATTTCAACTGTACATTCATATTTGTTATTCATTTATTATTCACACATTTCTAGGGATCCACTTCTGCTCATCTTAAGAATTTACTAATAAATTTACACGTACGGAGACATAATTAATCGTCAACTAGAGAACTTTCACAATCTACGAAGAGGAAAAGTACGACAAACAATTTTGGATCCAGTAGGACTTGTTTCCTCTAAGTGATGGGATAAAAGTATTGGGTCTATGATCAATGTTATTAAGATCAACTGAAGTAAACTTAAAAATCATCTATCCTAAATATTGTATTTCTATTTTCAACTCATTTTTATGTTTCTTGAATAATTACACCAATTTTGAGCATGTTTAAAAGTTATTTTTCAAAAAGTAAGCTTTGTTAATTAGTGTAAAATCAACTTTAAAAATTTATGATCGACAAATAAGTAACTTAAAAAGTAAGTTACATTTAACCAGTTCCATCAATTTGTGCAACGCAAATGCAACCAAGATTTATAAATTTGGTGGAGATTTGAAGTTTTGAAAGTAAAGAAAAGCCAGAGGGGATATTATAATAAGGAAAAATTAATGGTTGGCTTAATGTCCTGTGTGCACGACAGAATTGTGTAAGAAATGAAATAGGAGAAAACGACGTCAAGATTACACGTTGATGAAGATCAATTCTATGCCTAATCAACCGATCTTTAGAAAATAATCAATAGGAGAAGACAACGTGAAGAGCAAATCTTGACTTTGTGATGCTAATTTGTGTTTTAAAGTAGGTAGGGACTTGAAAGTGGGTGGGACACTGGAGTTGTATTTGAGATGTTTATTGAAGTCCTAATCCATGTATATGAGTCAACTCTAAGTGGAAAATCTCAAAACATGTTTTGTCAAAATTTTTCAAAATATAATGTTAAACTATTTGACCTAAGTTTTTCGATTAGATGACATGTATATCATTTAACTCCTCATGTGTGAAGTTCATTTTTTCTCCATTAAAGCCTAACATGTGCACAATTTCAATTAGAAGGGTGACGAAAATACGTGAACTTAGAACTTTTACTTACTTTGATGCGATATGAGATGTGAAATTCCATTTTAAAGGTCAATCTTCTTAAGATGAAACTATTTGTGTAATAAAGATGAACATGTTGGTGCTGATCAACCATGTAACAAACTTGTTGTCGTTCGACAGTAGTGACCTTAGAGTACACCAATCAACACAAATGGGATTTGCAGTTTTTGTTAATCGACCAAGAAATAAATTTGTTGTCGCTCGACCAAGCAATGAGCTAATGGAACATATGTCATTAGCAAGTTGAGTGTACATCAAAGAAACTACAATAATGTGGTTATGAAAGTTTACATATAATCAAGAAGAAACACAAATGTACAATCATAAACTGCTACTGCTATTAGAACTGAAATATATTTTCAGAATTGAACTCTATGATAACCAATCTCTCGTCGTTCCTCAATAGCTCAGTGGTAGAACGATTGGCTGTTAACCGATTGGTCGTAGGTTCAACATGAGAGTTCCCTCTCTAGTTTGAGGTGGGAGTTAAAGGAAACTATTCACGTAATAAAGTAGCAGTAAAACAAACAATAGAGATAACTATAAAGATGGCAATGGAGATGATACTGCAGAAATTATTGAGGAAACAAATGTCTCAAACCGTGCCGTGGTAATGTCAGAGCAAACAGATTGAGTCAATGACAGTTCTATACATCCTCTGTTTTTACACTTCTACTTATGTAAAAATCCTCATAATTAGCATGAATACTCTCCTTGTAACTGGCTTACAAAATGTATATATTCTGTGATATCCAGGAAATGCTATTTACATATTCTGTTTTTTGTACTCACCCTCAGGAATTTAATCCGAGACCTTTGGTTCAAATTCGAATGGCTCATCCTGTTCAGATCGAGAAAACTAATTGGTACTCACACAGAGTCTATCATAAATCACAACACTAGCAACCGCAGTGGCACCATGAGCTTCAAAAAGTAAACGTACCGTTTTATACGTAGTAATTTTACATATCAATTAATTTTTAATGAGCATATTATACGTATAAGGATTTTGTATCATCAATTACAGGAGGAAGAAAAGCTTTTGGATAATGAAGAAGTTGAAATAGAATTCCATAATAAAAGAATTTAAACAACGAGAAAGCAAGAAATACTCTAATTGTGTTCGACTTCTTTTTTCTGAACCCATTCTTATCAGAAACTAACTTCTGGGATTCTCGATATATTCAAGTAATTTCCTCTGGTTGTCAGTGAGAAATCCAAGTCCAATTGAAGTGAAAAAATTGACAGAAAATCTCAAGTTTCTTGGATTATCCATGGGAAAACAGAAACCAGGGATCTCTGCAATGAGGGATCATTCAATCGTTCTTTCAATAAGCGATTTCCGAGCATCTCTGACAACTCTTGGAAAAGGATTTTGATGAAAATATGCAACGAGGGGTTAGCATCATCCTCGGATAGGTGAATGTATCCCAAAACATGCCACGACAGAAGATTTGTGCCAAGCAATTGTGCGAAAAATTTAGTAATATTTCGCAATTTATAATTAGCTTCAAGCTGATGAACCATGAAGCATTCATAGACAAAGCATTCCTCAAAATTACGACAGTATGTAGGAACAATCATGCACAATGCGTGCGCTATGTTGGCGTAGTATCTAATATAAGTCCTTTCTTGACCGCAGCATTCCAGAAGCATATTACATATCTCCATCTCTTGTCGAGTCTGCAATTTTATACCAAGTAATTTCTGTCCCGCCTCCTCATAGTTACGACTGGACATTATATGATGGTATATAGTCCTCCGTAGAATTACTATATCAGTCTCAGCTTTATCCTGGGAGTCATTAGTATCGAAATCATTATTCTCCATTACTATTGGTACATGAGAAGATATCTCGTCGCCTTCAGAATCCTCGTCTAGAACGGAACTTCTAACATCTTCTTCAAGGTCGTCGCTCTCATCAAATATCATATCTGGCCAGAAAACATCCACACTAGTCTCTGGATCAATCTCGTGTAACAAAGATACAACATGAGTAACTTGGTTTTCAACCTCAACAAGATCCAGCTCGTCAATAATTGCTGGATGGTCTATAAATTTTACTCTTCTAATCTCAAAAAGCCCCTCGATCATGAGTTGAATTCGTCTGTCTATTACTCCATCGAGTAATATAGCATGAAATTCCTCAACAACAGAGTTGAGGCCATGTGGAGAAAGATATTGCAATAAGGAACCACACTCAATGCAAAAACCAACAGCAACCTCAACACTAATCTCGTTTGGATTTCCCAACAGAAGAGACAATACATCAATTGCTATTACTTCATAAACAACTGATTGATTAATTAAATGAGCCAAGAATTTCAATAAAGCCAACAATTCTAATTTCTCATTGTTTTCATAAGCTTTCTTGAATTGCAAAACAACCCTTTTAGCCAATAAAAGTCCAATATCAGGTAAATTAGAGTTAATTATTGCCACTAATGCTGCGAAAACATTACTAAATTGCGGCGAGGCCTTCTGAGATTTCATAATTGCGTTGCAGAATAAACCTCTGCCCACAATCAAATTTTCACTCAAGATTCGTCGTACTACATGATCAATGTTGGAGATACTTACTTTGTTAATTAATCTGAACATACTTTTTCTTAGAGCATCCCACTTGAATTCTTTGTAATCCTGACTGTAATCATGATACTGGCCCTGCTCCATTCTTGAATTGATTCTTATTCTTCCTCTCCACAATAAAATTATAAAATTATATACACAGAGAGATTCAGTTTTGCACTGTTGCTGCTAATTTTGAAGAAGGGTTTAAGGGTTTTCCAATTCAATTTATAAGGTTTTTGTTTCCAAAAGGGCAGCGCAGAAAAGTTCAATTAATTGGGCCGCAACTCATTGTAAACACTGCAGGTAATAGGAATCTCGCTTTAAATAATAACATGCGACAAGCCGACAATACATAAATCTTACATTTAAGAAAGGCATTTCAAAACTAACAAACTTTATAAAACTTTTCAAAAAACAGACTATAAATCAATTTATTAAATTTTTAATTATAATATAATATAATTAATCACATCAAATTTCAAATCCAAACCCCCCTTTTTTTTCTTTCTACTTTCTGACCTCTCTCTATCCCTTCTCCCATTGGAGGCAGCCATAGGCTACGGCAACTATTTCGATGACCTCTTCGGTGATCGTTTCGACGACTGCTCCAGCTCCAACAATAGAAGAATCTTCAAAAATTGAAAACAATTTCTCTTTATACTCCATTGTAGAAAAATCTCGAAAAATTTATCTGCTAACAGATTTATTGTTCGTGATTATACTTGTGTTTTATGTGACTATTTGTGCTCAAATTTGCTTTTGCTATAACTGTACGTGATCGTCTAATTTACTTTATGTAACAAATTCACTAACATATATTATTTGTGATTAATTGTGACCAAAATTTGTCTTTGATATAACTAACTATGACCAAATTTGTATTCGGTGTGACTATTTATGACCAAGTCAATCTTAACGGTATCATATGTGATCAAGTCACAATTGATCACAGTTAACATAGAATTGATCACAATTTTCACAATAAACACATACTTGGCCATAAAGAGTTCCCACAAACAAATCTTTACACATCTGCAGACTAGTACCACAATCCACCACCATCACCTCCAACTTTACTACATTCACTATCCTATGTTAATTGAAATTAATTGTAACCAACTTTATCTTCAGTGTGTCTATCTGTGTCCATATCAGCCTATTTTGTGACTATAGTTACATACAGTCACAATTAATATAGATCTGATCACAAACAGTCACAATAAAAGTAGACTTGGTCACACTCGATCACTATCTTGGATTGATGTCGTTGCGACGGAGTCATGATTCAGTAGCTTGTTGCTTCTCACGGCACCTCCAGTGGTGGTATGCTGTCAAGAGAGCGACGTCGTGATTCCAACGCTCACTAGTTGTTTTGCAGTGCCTCATATGGTGGTGCATCATCAAGAGAGAATGGTTGAGGGTGGAGGGAGGGGGGAGAGAGAGAGAGAGAGATGGTGAATTTGGGGATGGGAGATGCTGGGGTAGGATTGAAATTTGGGGGTGGGGTAGATGGTTATGTTATAATAAATCTGTATTAGTTAAATTAATAATTTTTAATTAGCACCTGATTTATGAATTTAAAACTAATTCCTCTTATTTATGAAAATTGGTCTTTAAATGTAAGTTGAGGTAATTTTCTCTAATAATGTTAACGATATGCGTTGGCTCTAGAAACATAACATTGGGCTATAATAAGAGTTTTAGCCCTTGAGCTAGATTTCCCCATATTTTTTCCCTTTTTCTTTTATTTTTTTTAAATAAAGGTTGTTGAAAGTTATTTAATTTTATAATTCACATGGAAATAAGTGAAGGTTGAACTTTTTAGCAACACAATATTATGATAAATGAGGACACTTCGTTTAAAGTGGGAAGCCCCTCACCAGGATTGGATTGTGGAGATTTCGAGCAAGGACCAAGGTCTTGTTTTGACGAAATGGGAGAGAAAACATGTCATATGAACAAGTTGAGACAACTTGTCAATGCCTAAAAATAACCTTTAGTAAACCAGTTTTACCAAAGAAAAATAGAAAAATGCTCCGTTTAGAGTAGCTCTCCCAATCAAAATGAAAGCTGGAATTCGATGTAACCTTAAATTAAAGGGAGAAAAGTGAGAAGACCTTGAACCACACAATCCCTCTCCTTCGAGGTAAGATAGACTTTCCTCTCTAGTCTTAGAGTTGTTTTCAGAGACAATAAAGTTCTTACTAATTAGCAAGGAGGAAGGAAGATCCTTTCCATGTGTGATGTCGATGGAAATTATAAGTGAAGATTCTTGTTCTAACATTGTGGCAAATTAAAGCAAAGACAAAATGACCTAATCAAACTAGTTGTTTAAGCAATGATGGTTTTGGCATTACGAATAAGTCGACTAGAGACGTTTCTAATATCGATAGCAGTTGTCAGTTGAATCAAATCTTGCAACTCTTACTACTGAGATGAAAGAAAGGAGCAAGATACAACCAAAGATGGAGATCCTCACATGGAAACAATTGTAGGCATGTATCGTGCCATTCAATTACACTAGCCAAGTGAGAAGAGAAGGCGAGAGTTCGAAAGGAGGAAAGAGGAGTCAATCTCCTTCGGGACATGCTTCCCAGCCACTCATTCATCTTGACCAAGTAGAATCTATCTTTAGGATTCGACGTGTATTTGGATACTAATAGGTGTTGAACCATCATGACACAGTAAACTGGTCAAGTAACTTATTTGGAGGAGACCTAGTATGTCATCTCACTAGTTAGGTTGGTCGAGAAGGGGCATTGCCCATTGTCAAGGTATTGACTTAGGCAGATTGATCCAACAATAACAAGTGAGACTACCTTAGAACATTTGGAGCTAGTTCCCCTATTTTCGAGTGTTTTTATTTAAAGCAACTAATTAATTATTTCGACCTGCCAAAAACTGGCACGTGTCACACTTTATACATTGTGTTACCATTTGACACAGATTTGTGTTTTTAGTAAATATTTTATAGCAAAGAAATTCCTAACTGAAATAGCTTATATTATTTTTTTGAGCAATGTAAAAGTCGGTCAAATCTATTAAATATCATCTGAATGAATTTTGCATCATTCACTTTCAGTTGGAGTTTTCAAATGTCAAGATGAAACTCAAGAAAAGTCGTAAATGTTTTTCGAAAAATTTTGCAAACCTCCTTGAGATGAATAGTCCTTTTAAAAAAATAAAATAAAAAATTCAAATGTGTAACAAGTCTCCTTATTTTAGTGAAACTGACTACTTGAAATTTAATAGACCCTTCGTTTTCTTGATTTTCTTTTCAAGAAATAAACAAACTATTGAAATTCTTACCATAAAAAAATTCTCTCCTTTTTTATAGATATGAATCTTACTCATCAGTAATAATAATATTTTTCATTTTATTGTTATCCCAACATTAAATATTATCTCAAAAATATGATGTTAGCTAGGCTTAAAAAAATAGTACAAACGTATTTTCTCTTGGCCGAACTTTCTTATTAACGCTAATATTTTCATGAATATTAAGATGAAATATAAAAGAGGATAAATAATATCTTGATAGAGCAATTTATAGAATTTTTTATATCAATCTTTTTTCATCAGCTGCCTCTGATTGGTGTAGTATCTTGAGTGAAATAAAATTTGTTTATGAGATCGTGGGCTCATTAAATATTATATTGATCCGTAATAAGACTCCAATTATTAAAAATAAAGTCCAAGAAGGTTGGTTCAATTTATACTTTTTGGGGTCCTTATGTTTCTCTTAACATTGAAGGTTGTTTAAAAATATAAAATTGAAAATGTATTTATATATCTCTTAACTCGAAATGAGAGCTTATTTAACGTATGTATTCAAGAATATTATAAGACTACTTAATAGTTCGTTACATTATTTATTTACATCCAAATTTTATTAGCACGAGTATTGTGGGGTTCTCTTCTAATAAAATCATACTACCACACAAGAAGAAAATTTCACAAAATTTCTCACTTCATTATTCAACTAATGAAAAATTGCAAGAGTTTCTTAACCTATGAAATTTTTGCATACATGTCATATTCTATTTCTCTGACGCCCATCTCTCCAACATTTTATTTTTTGGTCATCTTGGTCTCGTGTTGATGAACTCCGTTTAAGTCACCGTTAAAAGGATAATTAGCACATAACGTCATTACATTTTATTATTATTGTGAAAAACGTCCATACCTTTTATTCTTTTGGCAATTCCACCCTTATTTTCAACTTTCATTATGCAAAAGGTCATTTTCATCAATTTTCCCAATTAAAAATTGTAAAATGACAAATATACCATTTTAGTTAAATAAAACAAAAGGAAAAATAAAGAACTAATTGCAATCATAATTTTAATTTTTTTTAAAAGTGTAAACGAGTCTCAAATAAATTATCAAAAGGGTAATTAGCATGTGTAAATTACCCTTTTAATGATTTATTTGAGACTTGTTTGCACTTTTTTAAAAATTTGGATCCGTGGTTACAATTAGTTCTTTCCTTTTCTTTTACTTAAATAGAATGGTATATTTGTCAGGGTAATTGGCACAAAACGTCCTTACTTTTCAATTCTATTGTGGAAAACGTCCTTACCTATTACCCATATTTGTCACTTCAAAGCTTTTAATTGAAAAAAATGGACAAAAGTGTCCTTTTGCACAATGAAAAGTGAAAATAAGGGTGAAATTTACAAAAAAGGTGAAAGGTAAGGATGTTTTCCATAATGTAAGGACGTTGCTACTTACCCGTTAAAAAGCCAAATTTTAAAGATCAAAATCATACTAGTTTCATTTTAAAAAAATGAAAGAGAAACTTGGCAAAGACAATTACAACCAATCTCCAAAGAAAGGGCCCATATTTTTATGGGCCAACTTGTCATGCCTAGTAAGCGGGCAAATTAGACCTGCTCTTTTTTATATGAAAAATTGAAAAAAAAAAAAAAAAATTCATTGTTTTTTTGTTTTGTTTTGTTTTATTATTATTTTTTTGTTTTGTACATTTCATTGAAACTTTTGTCTAGAAAGTCGCAATGGCTGTAAATTCAGTTATTTTTTAAAGACAAATGATATAATTCTCAAAGAGCTAAAAGAGTTATCGTAACTTCCCGAAAAAC